TTCCTTCCTTCCTTCCTTCCTTCCTTCCTTCCTTCCTTCCTTCCTTCATGCAGTATTGCAGGCTAATTCTGCCCACTGCCAAGAGTTCGATTCTCACCAGGCTCAAGGTTGACTCAGCCTTCCATCCTTCCGAGGTGGGTAAAATGAGGACCCAAATTGTTGGGGGTAACATGCTGACTCTGTAAACTGCTTAGAGAGGGTGGAAAGCCCTGTGAAGCAGTATATAAGTCTTAACTGCTGTTGCTATTGCTATTTTTCACACTTGGAATCATTGCAGCATCCCCATGGGCATGTGATCAAAATTTGACAAGTAAAGTCAATGGGGAAGCCAGACACACTTAACAACTGTGTTACTAACAACTACAGTGATTCACTTAACAGTTGTGGCAAGAAAGATCATAAAATGGAGCAAAATTCACTTAGCAACATAAGTTTGGGGCTCAATTGTGATTATAAGTCGAGGACTATCTGTATATATGCCTACAGAGGTGCATACAAGTGTGTCACTTTTTTTTATCCACCCGGAGGATCTTCAGCATTAGTTTCAGTTAAAACTGGTGATCTAAGTTGAGAAGTGGCAAAGCTGGAGGGTTTTACAGTATTTCTAAGTTACTCTTCAGCAAGACATTTTCTTAAAACAGGTCACATTCAAATAGCACCTGATTTCTCTCAAGGCATTTTGCAAGACCAAAAGTATAAACAGAGGAAGTGTTGAATGTCTGAACTTTAGACTGGACTGTAAATGACAAAAGATTTGTGATATCTTGAGTATATTTATTGTATTTCAGTTCAGTTTACAAATAAGACACAAGTGTTTGTGTGACAGTCTACTATCCAGATTATTGTCAGACAGGTAGGAGTTAGCTTTTTATAGTAAAATATATTACTAAACAATAAACTTTTTGCAATTTTCCCTTGCCAGGAAATGACCTAGAGGCCTTACATTTCTGCATCCTATATATTCTACAATCAAGAAAAATGAACCCTGAAAGCACCACCACTTAGTAATATTAAAAGGAAACTACCTCAGCACCAAGAAGCAAAAGTGGAAAGGCTTGCAATAAAAAGAAAAGAAAACATATGTTATGAATAAAGTGTAGTAGCAAAGACTCTAGAAAAATATATGCTTTTTTTCAGTATTAAGATGGGATTTGACTGACAGGCTCCGTCAAATCAAGAAGTTATTTTGTCTGCTGATGTTAAGACTCAGCGATTCTTCAAGAACAGTCATAGTCTGCATTACTCATCACTGTTGAGCGGTGATTTTCCTTTCCCTTTCCTAATACTAACTGAAGAAAAATATAACAATGGTACTACTTTTTAAACATGAGTTTTCTTCAATTTAAAACAATATTAACACCAGGTGTCAGAAATGGATTGACAGAAAAACTACAGCAAATGGCTTTTGTGTCTTGTACATTGCAACAACATTTTGGGTGCCCACTGTAGAATGCTTAAGGAGGAAATAGTACAAGTAGTTACCACCACTTGCTTTTGTGATTATAATTTGTAATTGCAGCAGTGCTGCATTTGAACAGTGAATTGTACGAGTCAGCAAAACAGCTGCCATTTTCACTATTGACACCTAGTACCTTGACTTTTTTTTTTTCAAATGCCTTTTCTGAAAATTATGTGCATGCTCCTCTACTATTGCTACACCTAGATGGATTTCCAAGAGAGCAACTCATGAGAATGAATTAATTCAAAAAACCCTTGGCCAAGTACTTCCTTATGTATTGCTGCAGTGCACAAGAAAGTAAAATGGACTATAAGCGGCGCTTCTTGCTTGGCGGGTCCAAGCAAAAAGGGCAGCAACACCAGCAGTATCAAGTGCCAGAACTGGGCAAGACTCTGGGCGCCTCCTTAGCATCTTCAGCTCCAACCACTCCTCTGGTTTCCCTGGCTGCTGCTGGCAGCTGCAGTCATGCGACTCCGGTCGCAGACCTCCAGCAGGGAATCTCCAAATACCTAGATGCACTCAATGTCTTTTGTCGTGCAAGCACTTTCCTCACAGACCTTTTCAGCAGTGTATTCCGGAACTCGCACTATTCTAAGGCAGCTATGCAACTGAAGGACGTGCAGGAACATGTCATGGAGGCAGCAAGTCGACTCACAGCAGCAATAAAACCAGAAATTGCAAAAATGCTCATGGAACTTAGTGCTGGAGCAGCCAACTTTAAAGATCAGAAGGAGTTCAGCCTACAGGACATTGAGGTAAGTCGCTTCCTTCCTTTAGGCAAGATCTGCTAAAAGATTTTAGGGTTGCATTCAGGGTAGACATCTCCAGTAGAAATCAGAGAAACACCTGAGCTACTGCACCTGGTATTTTCCTTGGAAAAATAGTGGTTGTATTACTTTGAAATGTTTAACAGGTGGACTGATGCGGTCAACACATACCTTCCAAGCAATTAAAGTACCACTAATAAATGTATGAAAAAACAAAACTTCATGGGATTATGGATAAATGGTAAGTTAGCTTTAGTTTGATACTGACATTATAAGAACGAATGCAGTTATTGTTTTTAATTTCCCTGGAATCTATGGATACCTTTTCTTTTATATCAAGCCCTGTGCATGTAGGACATAAAATGCAAAATCCACCAACATATCTATTACTGCAGTGACAGTTCAAAAACAGCATTATGGTGCCTGTTCCCGTATAGTGTAGGGTTTGGATGTTTAAAGTAGTAACTGAATCCATATGTTTGAGTATGCTGCTTCTAGACATTAACTCTAAGAAGATGACATTGATCTAAGATTAAGTTTTGAACCCTTCACATCTTTTTTGAGGTTTGGTCCATTATTCAGAAATAAGGCCCCCTGATAAGGTTGCACTGGATATGCACTGGATTCCTGAATACCTTATGAAGTTTCCAATTGGCATGGCTCCACTTTATGAATGTAAAAAGGGACAAAATACTTGTTTTGCGGTGGTGTAGAGCTGGATTGTCTCTTCTAGCAGCAATCAGTATATATGGAATAAGAGCCATCAATACTGATAACACACCTTCTGTTTGGAATAATAATTAGCCCTCTTGAATTGGTAAAGCACAGTCCTGAAAAGATGGGAGATCCTCTAGATTGCTCCTCTGTTTGTGGAGGGAGAGGGAGGGAGACAGAGAGAGAGAGAAACAGAGAGAGAGAGAGAGCTAATTCTGGATGGTGCCATATTTTTTTTAGCATTTTAGGCTTGCTGAGTAGCTTTTAAAAATCTTAGAATACCGAAAAACAGAGTTATGTATAGGGGCTGGGCAGGTCTTCTATTAAACCCCCTGCGTAAGCAGGAGACCCTACACGATTCCAGACAAACGGAGGTCTAATCTCTTCTTAAACTCCTGTGATGGAGTATCCACAACTTCACTGACAGGAATAGGACAGGACAGGACGTTGGCGACCTAATCCAGTGCCCTTCTCAAGCAGGAGAACCTATACCATCTCAGACAAATGGCTGTCCAGTCTCTTCTTAAAAACCACCAGGGAAGAAGCACCCACAAATTCTGGAGGCAACTTCTGTTCCACTGGTTAATTGTCCTCCCTGTTAGGAAGTTTCTCCTTAATTCCAAGTTGCTTCTCTCTTTGGTTAGTTTCAAACCGTTATTTCTTGTCCTGCCCTCTGGGGCTTTGGAGAATAATTTGACCCCCTCTTCTTTGTAAAAGTCCCTCAAATACTGGAATACCGCTATCATGTCTATTACCCCTAATTCTTCTTTTCTTTAGGTTAACCAGACCCAAAACTTGCACCCATTCTTCATATGGTTTAGTCTCCAGGCCTTTGATCATCTTAGTTGATCCTCTCAAACTTTTTCCAAAGTCTTAATATCTTTTTTGTAATATAGTGATCAAAATTGGTTGCAGTATTCCAGGAAATTTCTCCTTGGTTTTAAAATGGATGTTTCCTTGATAAGTTTCCATCTATTACTTCTTGTCCTAACCTCAGATATTTTGGGGAATAAATTTACCCCCTCCTTTCTGTGACAGCCATTCAAACATTAAAATACGGCTATCATGTCACGCTTAGTTCTTCTCTACATCAGACCAGACATTCTCAGTTATGGCAACTATTCATCCTATGCTTTAGCTCCCAGTCCCCTACTCATCTTAGTTGCTCTTCTGTAGGAGATGATTAGGCTGAGCCCGAGGGAAGGGTCAAATGCATAATGAGTCACAAGTCCCTGCGCCCCCACAAGAAATCCAAGTCCAGCCCACCCTGAATGCCACCTTAATTCCTGGTCATTTGACCTTGACTGTTAATAGCTCAGGTTTTTGTAGAGAGCTTAAGCTTGCAATAAATCTTTATACTCATTTGAACTGCCTGAATCTCGTGATTTCTTTGGCGCTTGTCATTTGGAGTTCCTTGGTAAAAACCTGATGCTTTACAAAATGCATGGCTGTGTGCGGTCTGGTCCAAGGCTGTCCTGTCACTTGCTTATTCTAATCATCTTTTTTTTAAATAAAGTTTTGTTGAGTTTTAACAAAACAAATAAAACATCTTATTTGAGTACAGCATGGTTCCGGGTTATTACATTTCCATACAGACACAATTTCATATGCATATTCATCTTATATATTCAACTTCATATCTTATTACTCTTTTTCCAACTTCTCACTATTTCTCCCTTTACTTCTCTTAATTTTCTTTTATGGTTATCTCATTTTCTTCTTATTTAATTGTATTTCTTTTACCTAAATTTCTATATCTTTTTATTCATTATACTTATACTTTTGTCTGTCTTGTTTACAATTTCATTATGTTCTCTTCCAACATTCTTAAAAAGCAAAATTCCCTCTATGATTGCCAATTGGAGTGCAACACCTTTAAGTCTTGTTATTATCATATAAAATTTCATTAAACATTAAATGTATGCATTCTAAAATTATAACATTCAAATTTCTAATATCTATTTTATATCATGTAAATCTCATCATTCAGACTCTGCTTGGTACTTCCCCTTAAAAATGTAAAAAGAAAAATTCTAAAAACATAGCAAAAACAATATATATATATATATAAACATTAGTGAGCAAAATAGTTATTCAACTTCATTCTAGTACTGGTATGAGCCTTGTAAATCTTTCACATTTCTTTTCAATATCAATCTTTGAGAACAGTTGAAATGTTTCCCTCCCTTCTTCATTATTACTTAATTGTTAATAAGCATACCATTGGATAATCATACAGTTTTATCTTATAAATTATTTACTATTAAAAAGCAAAATAATTATTCAAATTCATTCTAGTAACTGGTATAAATTTCCTTATAAATCTTTCACATTTCTTTTCAATATTTTATCAATCTTTAGAAACAATTACAATGTTTCCCTCTCTTCTTTATTATTGCATTAATTATAAATAAACATACCATTACATAACAATACAGTTTTATCTCATAGATTATTTACTTATTTCATTTCTAACTCATTACAGTATTCTACTGTCACAACACTATCTTTTGTACCTTTGCAGAATCCTCACTTTTAACTTAATTTAGCCATTGTCTCTGTGTTTTCTACCTGAGTAAATACCTTTAATCCTAGTACGTTTCCCCTTTTTCTTTATTTCCTGCTTTTGTCCCTCATGAGTTCTTTCCCTTTCTATCTTCCCCCCCCTTTTCTCATCCCCTTTTTAATACCCTTCTCTCTCTAATTTTCCCTTCTGTGGTTTTCTTTTCTGCTTCTCCTTGCTGTTATACTTCTTTTTCAGACTATTTTTCTTTTTGGCTGTTCCCTTTGATCTCAAACTTTTAACTCCTTTCCCCCTTTCCCCCCTTATTGCCACACTTTGCATTATTTGATCATTGAAGATGGCTTCTTCTTTGTCCCGCCCTTCTTCTTGCTCTTGAAGGTTTTCCTTCTGCTTTTCATAGTTCAGGATCTCCATTTCAAGAAATTCAAATACGAAGCCAAAGGATCTTCCTCCCTTTCTGCATCTTCTTTCTGTTTTTTAAGACTCATCTTCAATTCCTCCAGGAGTGATGGCATTTTAAACACTTTTGAACAACCACCCGATTGACTTTAAGTAAAAACAGAAAAAGAAAGAAAAAACCAATGCCAAAAACTTTTTTTTAAAATCACCAAATGATTCCAGACTGTTCCTTCTTGTTTCTTTCCTTTACTTTTCCTTTCCGTTGGGTTACTCTTATCTTTTAATAAGATCTCAGTTACAATGTATCCTCGGGAGTCTTTTCAAAGTTTCGCTGTTAATCCTCTTTATTTTTCCAGGTGGCACTCCATTTTTCCATTATTCCAAGACCCACCCTTTTGCCTCCACTCTTCTCCTTTTTAGGACTTTAAAATGACCAAGGAAAAAATCTTTATTTTCCTTTTGACAATTAAATTTCAGCTTAAAGTTGCCTATTAGTGTCAAAGTAAATTAATATAGATTTCTTTCCATATCATTTGTAATTGTCAATATAAAGATTTAAAAAAGGGTTTTTAACCTTCTTTTCTCTCTCCTTCGCCGCTTTAAAGATCTTCTTTCAGAAGTATCCCTCTAAGTACTTTTAGATTCAGGGTACCTTGCTTAGATGTTCTCTGTTGTTTAGCCCGGTCTGTCCTGCTTTCCTCTTTGTCTTCCTCCTGCACAATCTAATCCAGTTGGGTTCTTCTTTGAGGTGGCCATTTCTGACCACCGCTGCAACCGCCTTCGGGAAGGGGAGTTTAGACCAGCCAAGGAGGAGAGATGCAGCTCCCCTCCACTCTGCTAGCAATCTCCCCCCTCTTCACCACCTCTACGGGATGGCTTCAGCCCCAAATCCAAAGGATCGGGGCGCTCCAGCGGCGAGCACAGATCAAAACTGTGCACGATCGCGGATTTCGGTCTGTCACTGAAGAAACCCAAACCGGAAGAGCCTTATTCTAATCATCTTATTGGTTATAGCCTTTTTTTTCAGTTTCTCATGGCCTACTTCTTGGTAAGATAGAAGAATAGAATTCTTTATTGGCCAAGTGTGATTGGACACGCTACGAATTTGTCTTCGGTGCATAAGCTCTCAGTGTACATAAAAGATAAAAGTGATAAATCATGATCATAGTCATCATAAACATATTCATCATGAATCATAACACATTCATCATGAATCACATTCATCATTTTAATTGCTTATTTAGTATCTTACTTAGTGATAGTCATAGGATGACTTAATGGTAGTCATAGGATACTAAATAAGCAATAAAAATCATACAAGGAAACTAAATGAAACAATATGAATTGTAAA